CTATTTTTTATACTCATGTATGTAATATATTAAAATTCATGAAACTATGATATATTGGAACTTTATTTCAGTTCCATATTTGGAATTTTTAATTTATTTTAATGGTTTTTATAATAAATTAAGATAAATGGACGCACAATATATATATATATATATATATATATATATATATATATATATATACTTCTCATTATATTAATTGTATATTAAAATTATACAATCATTTTTTCTAACTTTATACTTAATAAAGTTAGAAAAAATGTATTTAAGAAAACATTATTTAAAAACATTTTTAATACAACATATTTAATTATTTTATTTTTCTATTGATTTTGGTTACACTTTCAGTCTTCCAAATATGTTTTGTTCTCATATTTATTAGAACAATATACATTACCAAACATGTTCTACTATGTTTTTGTTCCATGATTCGGTAAAGCAAACTTAGAACATCAAACATGTTTTGTTCTCATTTCAGAACATTACACTACAAAACACTTGTTCTGTTATAGGCTAGAGCAGTATACTACATCACACTACACTTCCCAAACGGGCCCTTACCTGCCCTTCCTATTCTGTTCCCCTCCTCCTCCAAGAACACACCATCCCAAGCCTCTATCCCCGTCCATTTTCTGTGCAAGTTAGTGTTCAGCACCAAGATCGAAACCCTAGTCCCTGCTCGATGCATCACATCATGCCAGACAAAAATTCCTCGAAGATCTTCGTCACCGGCATTGAGGTCACTCATCTGGATCTCTTCAATAACAACCTCGTTGTCGTTCATGGCATCCAAGGCTTCATCTCTCACCTGTCGCCGTTCTCGTGCCATGTCGAGCGTATGACTTCTTTCTCATTCCCTCCTCCGCCGCCGATGGAGGCGTTCTTTATGATGCCTGATTCCGACGATGAGATTGGTGATGGGTTTAGGACAGTGGTGATTGTGGTGGCGGCATCGATTAGTGATGGGTTGGGATTAGGATTTGTGTGGGTGATTTTGGGGTTAATTTGTGGTGGTAATTGGTAAAGGGTTGGGATTGGGACAATGGTGGTTTGTGGTGGTGATTGGTGATAGGTTGGGATTGGGATAGTGGTGGTTTGTGTGATTCTGCAGTGGTGGTTTGTGTTAATGTGTGCCATAGCCACCACTCTTCTCGTCCTTTTTGTTTCAGTGCTCCAACCCACAGATTCCTTCCAAACAACGGTCGCTGACTACTTCTCCGACAAAGTCGCCAGTGTCGGCTCCCACCCCCGTCGTGGTGCCAGCAGCGTCAATGAGTGGTTGTGGTAAGGGGCGTAGGAGAGAAAAATGGTAGAATAGGAAAAGGAAAGGGCAAATTAGGATTTTTAAATTTACTTTTTGTGTCAATTTTGATCAAAAAGTGATCAAAGAGGCTTATTTGTATGTTTTTTTTTTGGACTGAAATGTACATTTTCAAAAAAGATGGACTATTTATGTACAAAACCTATATTACAGGAGTTTATGCACTTAACCCAAATTATAATTCATTGGGACTCCTAACTTAATAGATAACGGTAATAACAATATTTAAAAATGTACGAATTAATAAGTTAGGGTTTTGGGACTTTTTTGTAATTTCAATTTAGGAGAAAAGGAAATTGCAGCAAGGATTTTTTTAATTATTTTTTTTATTTTTATAAGAAGGCACGAAATTTCATTGAATAACATGAGAAATACAAAGTACATCAACAAGTTACAACCATATCGCGAACGATAGTACTTTGAATGCATAATGGAAGTTTAGAGAGAAGCATATTATTCCTTTGTTTTGCTCCTTTCGGAAATTGCCAAACCTTTTATTTGATGTAAATTTCAATCTGAACTTTTAAATTTTAAAAAAATAGTACTAATTATGAAAACACAAATATTTTTAGGAGAATAACGTATCCGTATATGTATCGGGTACCGATCCTCACAAATACAACTGAGTGTTAACATGCAATAAGAAATATGGTGCAATCCATTGCTTCTTTTTTGAAACAAGGCTATTGTCTCTCTCCTCAATCCATACACATATAATACACATATATCTACACATATTATTTATATATATATAACCAAAATTCTCTTAAAAGTACAAGAATATTGTTTGCATGGCCACATAATGCCAGGAAACATGCATACATAGGTGATTGAAACTACAGGCCATAAGAAATTACAAGCTCATAAAATAGCATTTGGTTCAGGCTTGACGGCAAAGTGTTCTGGTTTTGAGGAATTGCATGGCGGTTCCAACATCTTCTTCTTCCACGAGCTTAGCGACTTCACATTCCAGTTACACTGATTGCATCCGCCTTCGTTAGTAATCCCTATAAACAATTATACATGTTTTAGTCCTACGCACCAGTTAGAAATTTACCACATTATGAAATGCACTCGGTGAAAGAATGAAGTCTCCATCAATTCCAATTGTTAAATTGATTCGTTAATTAAATGCCTTAGAACTCGATATTGAAGTTATTGTCACAAGTAAAAAAATAAAACTGCTTTGGAAACAAAAATGATCCAAACGAGCCCTTGAACATCATGGGATTTGTCATGAAGATCATACCTACCACCATCAAGAGTCACTAGCAGTTGCAAGGTTTAAGCCTTGTAATCCCTTCGAAGTTTGAAGTTTGAACTAACCTGCTATGCCCAAGTTCAAGAAAAGGTAAAACTTACAGGAAACATTAGTGAATACCGCAAAAAGTTTAAGCAAATACACTAACTTTAACTTCACAAAGTCTTAAACTAACAAAATGATAAATAGAACTATAATGTCCAACTAAAACAAATACTGAACTTTATTCATATCCTATTTATTTTTTATAAATTAGAAAAAGAAAGAACAAAGAAGAAAACAAAAAACAAAAAAACAAAACAAAAAGAGTGTAACTGTTCGGTGCATTATCTTTTGTCATAATTGTAAGGAACCCGTAACAATAATCTGGATTATATCATGGTTCGTGATGTAAAGACTAAAGAAGTCAATCTCAACACTTTCTTTAAGGGGAAAAATAATAATAAAAAGAAAGAGGAAATGATTTCTTGTATTATAAATAGACAAAATTTTCTGACACCCCCAAAAAATTTGGCAAAATGGCAGAAAAAAGCTTCTTTTTTTTTTTTTTTTTTTTTTTTTTTTTTTTTTTTTGCAGGGCAAGAAACACACTCTTTTTGCCCACAACCGGGCTCAAACCCCTTCGCTCCTCTTTGAGGATTGGGAGGTTTATACTATTGAGCTATAGGCCTGTTGGTGAAAACATGCAAGATTAAAAAGGAAAATTGGCATATATATTTGAATATATCAACTTAGCAAAACTGATTAAATATTTTCTCGCAATACACATATAAATGAATCTTGGCAAATGAAAATGTGGAAGAAATGAATACGCTGCCAGTTATACCCTCGTGAAACCCAAAAACATATCAAAATCATTTTTTCCTCACTTGGAGCTTGACAAAAGAATCCTCAACCTTGAAGCAATCAAGGAGCATCTAGCACTCTTGGGCTCACTTGTAGGCTTTTTATAACAACCAAGAGTGTTAATTTCTTTTTCTCTCGTCTCCACTACCGAAGCATAAATTATTGAACTCATAAGCTTGTTATTGAGTGGTAAAATTGTAATTTAAAACAAAATAAATCTAAGAGAAAGGAAAAGAAAACATGTTCATAGACCATCACTTTTTCTCTAATAAAGAAGTGAATAATTAAAGTGAACATTTAAATTGTATAGCCACGAGAGAAGATAGCAAATTACCCATTCCCCCTTCCAATGTTTTTGAATTAAAGAATGCTTCACTTGGTTGCTGTATTTCTTTTCGTCTTCTTAGAATCTGAACAGTCATATAACTTTTCCACCTTCATAATAGACAAACTGAAATTAAATAGTAGGAAGCATTCAACCACAATTATTTTGGTGATTCAATCCCTTTCGTGATTGCAGCCAAATGATCATATTCTACACAAACAGATTAAGGAATATATCCAATGATCCTAACAAATAGCCACCAACAACAATATCCAACCAGAGAAGTGTTGAAATCCATGTAGCACTTAGGCTAGGACGTCCACGTTTTCCTTTGGCACGAACTTCTGAATCATTTTGAGGAGTGCAGGGTCTTGACCAGTAGTGTAGAGTGGATGCAGTAACATAGAAAAGGTAGACGCATCCGCTGAAAAACCCTTCTTGGTCATTTCCTCTAAAAGTGCCACTGCGTTGTCACACTTTTTTCTCCTAATACATCCTTGGACTATAGTGTTGTAAGTGACACTATCTGGCAAGCAACCAGTCTCTGTCATTTTTCTGAGCAGCTCTTCAGCTTTCTTCAGTAGTCCTTCTACACAAAGTCCGTGTATAAGTATATTATACGTAATAACATCAGGCTGCATCTCTTTGAAGGAAAGTTTATCAAAAAGATCCCATGAGACATCAAATTGTCCATTCTTGCGAAGTCCATCAATGAGAATGTTATAAATAGAAATATGAGAATTTAATCCATTGCTTTCCATCGTGTGAAATATTGACAACGCTTCAGAAATGTGCCCCTTTTTGCACAGGCCATCCAACAGGACACAGTAAGTACGAGTACTTGGAATTTGGCCTCTATCTTGCATCTCATTCAGAAGCTTTCTGGCTGCAGCACATCTACCATTTCGGAACAACCCTTGCAACATAGTTGTATTTGTTGATAAAATAATGTATCATATACTATAGTATAATTTATTTAAATATTATTTGTAAATATAATATTTATTATAATAATCTATATATATATTTATATACTTTAATATCAAGAAAATAAAACTATAAAGGAACCTGATAAAGTCGAGGCTATAATTTAATTCTATAGCCTTAAGACAGATACGCCCCATTACGGTGCTAACGGACTCTTCGGCATCTATCTCCCAGGATACAACGACTTTTCTTCCTTTGGTAGTAGCACTTCAAACCAATGGAATAGGCGAACCGGCTCGGTGTAGTACTCTCTGTTGAACTCAGACTCGGAGACCAGGATTAAACCCTAACTCGGAGACCAAGATGGAACCCAAACTTGGAAACGAAAGTTCGAACCCAATCCAAACCAGTTTAGGTTGAACCCAAACCAGTGGCTGAACCGAACAAAGAAGAATTAGAAGAAGAAATTCAGAAGAAGAGAAGAAGATTTCTGAATTGGTGTGAATTGAAATGAACCCAATGATGGGTATTTATAGGCTTGTTGGTGCCTATTCTGAATGGGTGCACCCATAGTCCGAATGGGTGCAACCATTGTTGACCAATCCAAATTAAAATCTGTTGGTGGTTTTTAATTTGTAAAGGGTGCAACCCTTCAAAAAAATAGTTTTTGATTTGAATTTAAACCCAAAATAGATTAAGCCCAGCAAGCAAACTTCGGCAGCCCAGCCCAGCCCCACTTAAATAAGTCCAGTAAATAAAATAACCACACAGGCCCAATCCAACTTTGTGTAAAAAGGTTAGACCCATTTTACAATTAAGCCCCGCCCCGCCCAAGCCCGGACCGGGTCGGGCGGCGCGCGCGTGTGTGGTAGTTGGTTCGAATCCAGGCTAGCCTAGGTTCTCCCCCTCTTAAAAACTTGGGTGCCCTTGGGCCCAAACCCAAATCCCATACTAGACATATATATACTCAAGGTTGCTTTGCTACTTTTTCGATGTGGGACAAGCATTTCCCACTTTATTCACACCCATTTAGGCTTTATAAATCACTTACTTTGGAGCCAATTTCTCATTCACCCGGAAACGGATTTGAGAAAATAAATATACCACGTTCATCTCCTCGCAGAGAGGAACGCGCTCGTCAATAGATTCGCAAAAAATTCTTAGCGGAATCTTTTAAAAATCCTTCCAAAGTTTGCGTTTTCTAATGCCGTTTCCAACAATCCCCCACATGAATGAAAATTTGCGCAGATTACAAAAGGAGAATATACAGACACTATATAGAGTACTATTGGAAAGTTACTGCATCGGGATAGGTAGCTTTTGGCCTTGAACCTTCCCTAGTGTATTACTATCGGATTTACTAGCTAACCAGTGAACATTATGTCTTGAACTGTTCAGCCGTTGATGTAAACCAAGACAATAGAAAACACACAATTCCTTCCCACACAAAGTCGGTTCTCACGGTTGTGTTCATATGGCCCTGAACAATGCCTGGTATTTCATGAGCGCTCCAGAAAACTTAGCCTTAGAAGTTCTCATAGAAGCGGCCCCACTTCACACTCATATAGGTGACTTCTTATTAAGAGTATCCTACCATACCCCACTTGAATTTTCAAGGTATAAGAGTCATTAAAAGCATAGCTTATCCTACTCATCGCTGTAGGTAACACTGTCTCATCATAGAAATGGGTAGAAGATTGAATTTTCCCAATGCTTCTGGTGAGCCATTCAGAATTTCTGTTGTCCCTTTGAACCTAGATCTTGGGATCTCCAGTCAACTAGGTTGGGTTTCCATTAAGATGACTCGTTAGCTTTCGGCTTTAATCCCATTCCCCTCGATGAACTATATACTTGTTCTCTTGTCAAACCTTTTGTAAACGGATCCGCTAAATTATCTTTTGACCTGATATAATCTATTGAGATTATCCCACTTGAGAGCAATTGTCTAACGGTATTATGTCGTCGACGTATATGTCGAGACTTACCGTTGTACATACTACTTTGTGCCCTTCCAATTGTTGATTGACTATCACAATGTATACATATAGCGGGCACCGGTTTAGGCCAATTTGGAATATCTTCTAAGAAATTACGAAGCCACTCAGCTTCTTCACCTGCTTTATCCAAAGCAATAAATTCAGATTCCATAGTGGATCTGGCAATAAAAGTTTGTTTTGAAGATTTCCAAGATATGGCACCTCCTCCAATAGTGAAGACATAGCCACTTGTGGATTTAGAATCCTTTGTATCTGATATCCAATTAGCATCACTATATCCTTCAAGTACTGCTGGATATCTAGAATAATGTAATCCATAACTTATAGTATATTTTAAATACCTTAGAACCCTAATTATTGCAGTCCAATGGTTCTTTCCTGGATTACTAGTATATCTACTCAATTTATTAACTGAGTATGCTATGTCTGGTCGTGTGCAATTCGTCAAATACATTAAGCTTCCTATAATGCGAGAATACTCAAGTTGTGATATACTAGGACCAGTATTTTTCGATAAATGAAGATTTACATCAACAGGAGTCTTTACAAGACTACTATCCCCTTTATTAAACTTTTCTAATATTTTCTCAATATAGTGAGATTGAGATAATACTAGACCATCTGATGTTCTAGAAATCTTAATTCCTAGTATGACATCAGCTATGCCTAAATCTTTCATATCAAAATTTTTGGTCAATATCTTTTTAGTAGTTTTGATTATAACATCATTACTACCCATTATTAGCATATCATCCACATATAGGCATACAATGACATATCCATTTTGAGTGTTTTTCACATACACACATTTATCACACTCATTAATTTTAAAACCAGTTGACAACATCACTTTGTCAAATTTTTCATGCCATTGTTTAGGTGCTTGTTTTAATCCATATAAGGATTTTACAAGTTTGCACACCTTCTTTTCTTTTCCTGGAACTATAAACCCTTCAGGTTGTTCCATATAGATTTCCTCCTCTAATTCACCATTTAAGAAGGCAGTCTTAACATTCATTTGATGTATTTCTAAGTTTTGCAGTGCTGCAATAGCTAGTAACAATCTAATGGATGTTATTCTTGTGACTGGTGAATATGTATCAAAATAATCCAAGCCTTCTTTTTGCCTGTATCCCTTAGCAACAAGTCGGGCTTTATATTTTTCAATTGAACCATCAGGCTTCATCTTCCTCTTGAAAATCCACTTATACCCTAAAGGTTTAGTACCAGGAGGAAGATCCACCAGCTCCCAAGTATGATTTTGCATGATGGATTCAATTTCACTATTTATAGCTTCTTTCCATAAACTAGCTTCAGGAGAAGACATAGCTTCCTTGTAGCTTTGTGGCTCATTCTCCAATATATATGTCAAAAAATCAGGACCGAATGACTTAGACGTTCTAGCTCTTTTGCTACGTCTAGGTTCTTCCTCATTTTCATCATCTACAGACTCTTGGTCTATATTCTCTTGTATATTGTTATTAGCAGTATCAGAATTTCTTTTAAGAGGATTTTTGCATGGAAATATATCCTCAAAGAAATAAGCATTCCTTGACTCAATAATTGTATTGACATGGATATCAGGAATGTCTGATTTATGCACAAGAAAACGATATGCACTACTATTCTGTGCATAGCCTATGAAAATACCATCAAAGGTTTTTGGTCCTATCTTAACTTTCTTAGGAGTAGGAACCGCAACCTTAGCTAAACACCCCCACACTTTTAAGAATTTATAGGAAGGTTTTAGACCTTTCCATAATTCATAAGGTGTCACATTTGATTTCTTTTGAGGTACCTTGTTGAAAACATAATTAGCAGAGAACAAAGCTTCCCCGCACAAATTCTGGGTTAAACCAGAACTTATCAACATAGCATTCATCATTTCTTTTAAGGTACGATTTTTGCGTTCAGCAACACCGTTCTGTTGAGGTGAATAAGGAGCGGTAGTTTGGTGAATAATACCATGTTCTGAGCAAATGTCAGCGAATGGTACTTCGTATTCACCACCTCTATCACTTCTAAACATCTTTATCTTTTTTCCAAGTTGATTCTCAACCTCATTCTTGTAATGTTTAAACATTTCCAAGGCTTCATCTTTACTTCTTAACAAGTATACATAACAATATCTTGTGCAGTCATCAATAAAAGTAACGAAATACTTTTTCCCACCTCTAGTTGGCACAGATTTAAAGTCACAGATATCACTGTGAATTAATGCTAGAGGTTCAGTACTTCACTCTATGGAGTGAAATGAGGTTCTAGTCAATTTTGCTTCTACACATGTTTGGCATTTTTTATTTAAATCAATATTAAATTTAGGTATAGATTCCATGTTAATTAATCTACGAATAGTATCATAATTAACATGTCCTAACCTACCATGCCATACATCAGATGAGTCAATAATATAAGCAGAATAAGCATTAGCTTTATTATTATCATTAATAGCTTTGGGTACAACAGTCATTACATTGAACTTAAATAGTCCATTACTTAGATACCCTTTGCCCACATACACCCCATTCTTAGTCAGCACAAACTTATCAGATACAAAGACCAGCTTGAACCCATTCTTGCTTAGTAGTGACCCAGAGACCAAGTTCTTCCTGATGTCTGGTACATGCAGCACATTATTAAGAGTGAGCTCTTTCCCTGAGGTCATTAGTAGCTTGATCTTTCCTTGTCCTTCAACCTTTGCAGTAGAAGAATTCCCCATGTAGAGTTGTTCTTCATTATTTATAGTTTCATAGGTAGTGAACATTCTCTTTTCAGAGCAAACATGACGAGTAGCTCCTGTGTCCACCCACCATTCTCTGTTGTTGCTTACCAGGTTGATTTCAGAAACCACAGCTGAAAGATTTAACTCTGATACATCAGCTGTCAACTTATCTTCTTCAGCTATGTGCACCTCAGTGGTCTTCTTCTTGGGGTTATGATGTGTTTTGCGGCTACGACAATCTTTAGCTCGGTGTCCTAGCTTGCCGCATATGAAACACTTCCCAGTGAACTTCTTATAGTTTCCTTGGCTAGGACCTTCTCCAGAGTGATTCCTCTTCTTATTTTTCTGTCCTGCTTCCACTACATTTACCTTTGACACCATTGAAGAATTTCCGGCTCTCTTTTCAGATGTACGGTTATCTTCTTCAATTCTCAGCCTGACAATTAAGTCTTCGAGCCCCATTTCCTTGCGCTTATGCTTCAAGTAATTTTTGAAATCTTTCCAAGTAGGTGGCAGCTTTTCAATGATTGAAGCTACTTGAAAGGATTCACTCAATGTATCTTCTCAGCATGTATCTCATGTAGGATCAGCTGGAGCTCCTGCACTTGGCTCACGACTGTCTTGGAGTCTATCATTTTGAAGTCCAGAAATCGTCCAACCACGAATTTCTTCAAGCCAGCATCCTCTGTTTTATACTTTTTGTCTAACGACTCCCAAAGCTCTTTAGCAGTATTTATTGGGCTGTACACATTATATAAGGTGTTGTCCAATCCATTGAGGATGTAGTTCTTGCATAGGAAGTCTCCATGCTTCCATGTATCAACAGCTCCAAGCTTGGTAATGTCTGTATCACCCTCATCTAACACTGGAGAAGTCTCAGTCAGATACTTGCTTAGATTCAGAGTTGTAAGGTAGAACATCATTTTCTGTTGCCACCTTTTAAACTCCGTCCCGTTGAATTTTTCGGGCTTCTCCCCATGACTGACGGGAACATTAGGCACGGTAATACTCGTACTTGCCATTTGTCTGTTATATATTGATATACAGACCACGAGTCAAATTATAATAATTATAACAACAATAATAATTAAATAATTATTAATATAGTATAAAGTTATCTGTCTTAAGATTGTTGATAAAATAATGTATCATATACTATAGTATAATTTATTTAAATATTATTTGTAAATATAATATTTATTATAATAATCTATATATATATTTATATAGTTTAATATCAAGAAAATAAAACTATAAAGGAGCCTGATAAAGTCGAGGCTAGAATTTAATTCTATAGCCTTAAGACAGATACGCCCCGCTACGGTGCTAACGGACTCTTCGGCGTCTATCTCCCAGGATACAACGACTTTTCTTCCTTTGGTAGTAGCACTTCAAACCAATGGAATAGGCGAACCGGCTCGGTGTAGTACTCTCTGTTGAACTCAGACTCGGAGACTAGGATTAAACCCTAACTCGGAGACCAAGATTGAACCCAAACTTGGAAACCAAAGTTCGAACCCAATCCAGACCAGTTTAGGTTGAACCCAAACCAGTGGCTGAACCGAACAAAGAAGAATTAGAAGAAGAAATTCAGAAGAAAAGAAGAAGATTTCTGAATTGGTGTGAATTGAAATGAACCCAATGATGGGTATTTATAGGCTTGTTGGTGCCTATTCTGAATGGGTGCACCCATAGTCCGAATGGGTGCAACCATTGTTGACCAATCCAAATTAAAATCTGTTGGTGGTTTTTAATTTGTAAAGGGTGCAACCCTTGGTTCAAAAAAACAGTTTTTGATTTGAATTTAAACCCAAAACAGATTAAGCCCAGCCCAGCCCAGCGCCCGGACCGGGCTGGCGGCGCGCGCGTGGTAGTTGGTTCGGATCCAGGCTAGCCTAGGTCCTCCCCCTCTTAAAAACTTGGGTGCCCTTGGGCCCAAACCCAAATCCCATACTAGACATATATATACTCAAGGTTGCTTTGCTACTTTTTCGATGTGGGACAAGCATTTCCCACTTTATTCACACCCATTTAGGCTTTATAAATCACTTACTTTGGAGCCAATTTCTCATTCACCCGGAAACGGATTTGAGAAAATAAATATACCACGTTCATCTCCTCGCAGAGAGGAACGCGCTCGTCAATAGATTCGCAAAAAATTCTTAGCGGAATCTTTTAAAAATCCTTCCAAAGTTTGCGTTTTCTAATGCCGTTTCCAACAGTATTAGTGTCAATTGTGGGTTCCAATCCTTTACTGGGCATTTCTAGCAAGAGATTCATGGCCTCATCAATCTTCATCTGCTTGCAATATCCATTGATTAAAGTGTTATAGGTGATAGTGTCAGGCTCAATTACCTTGTCCTCTATGGAATTGAATGCTTTCATCGCTTCATCCATCTGGCCTTGCAAACAATATCCATCGATCAAAGCAGTGTAAGTGACTACATCAGGATTCTCACCTCTCTAAATCATGATTTTAAGTATACTCTCTGCATCTCTTACCAACCCTTCTTTGCAAATTGCATCTACCAAAATATTGAAGGAATATACATCTGGAAAAAATTTCAGATCCACCATCTCATTCAATAGTCTTTTAGCCTCTTTCCATCGACCAAAATTGCAAAGTCCGTGAATCAATGAATTGTATGTGATAACATCAGGCAACATACCTTTCTCAATCATTTCGGAGAAAAAGACCAAAGCATCATCTACCATTCTGTCCTTGCAAAGACTATCAATTATGGAGTTGTTATACATTACTAAGTTAGCACTAGAAACCCTTGTTTTCTCCATATCCCTAAGTAGCCCAATGGCCATGCTAGCATTCCCTGCTTTGCAAAGACCATTTATCACTGTTCCATACATAACTCCATCAGGTTCAATCTGATTCTCTCTCAGCAATAGCAGCTTATTGAATAACCCCATTGCCTCCGCAAAATTATGTTCTAAGAAAAGTCCTTTTATCAGGGTGGTGAATGTAGTCACATTTGGTGCACAACCACCATGTTTAAGTAGGTGGCCTAAGGTAGCAAATCCAAAATCGACTCGATTGAGGTGGCAATAACAGTTGATTACAGTGTTCATGGTGTACTCATCAACAGATATACCCAACACAAGCATTTGTTTGTAGCGAGAAACAACAGTAGAGCAATGTTTCATTCTGGTAATAAACCCTAGAAGCTGATTATATTCCATAACAGAAGGCAAAGGTCGCGTTTGGAGCATTCGATTGAATAAATTGAGAGCGTCTTGGAGATTATTAATGTTGTAAAACCCAATTCTAGGTTTCTGGGTCAGTGATTTACGATCCGAAGTAGAAGAATGAGAGTGAAATGAAACTGTATAATGAACATGCGATAATGGGTTTGGGTTTTGAGAGAGAAAAGTCGTAGTAGTAGTAGTAGGAAGACGAGTACCTTTTGAGAGGCAATTGTGAGGAAATAACCTTCTCCAGACCCAAGAAGCAATACCAGATCCATTTCTCTTCATCGTCGCTGAGAGTTCAAACGTGACTTGATGCTCTAACTCGTCCATGAATTACAATGGAATATAATTAAAGAAAGGACGGTTAAGTGAAAAAACAACAAAATCCTATTATAAAAAAAATAATAATAATAATAAAAATGTGGCAGTTTATTTTTTAGACCAATTTGTTTTGTTTTTTTTTTTTTTTTTTTTTTTGAAATAATCCAAAATACCCTTAATAACCTCCCTCTCTCTCCTCTGTCCCTGTTTTTCTATTTTTAGGTAATTAAAAAGGCTAGTTATATTATTGGCGTTTACTTAGGAGGGCTCCACTCTTCTTTTCTTTTAAAATGGAATTAAAAAAAAAATTCTAAACTCATAATACATATTTTTTACATTTTAAATGTCACTATTACCCTTCTCTACTTAAGGTGGAGTCTTTCAGAATCCCAATTCCATTTTTTTCTTTTTCTTTTACATTTCCATGATTTCTCATCTATTGCCTACTACAAATCAATGACTAAACAAATACGCCTTATAATATGTAATACCCCTAATTTTAAAAGTCTCAATATTTAGTTAATTATTTTATTTGTATTTTTGAATTATTTAATTGATTTCTTGGTTATTTGTTTAATTACTTATTTGAATTAATTATTTATGTGATTATTTAAAATAAATTGTTTATTTAAATTGTACGCTATATGATATATATTTGTTTGTTTAAATGTTAGGTGTTTATTTGTATTAAATTGTTAGGAATTAAATGATTTAAATGGTTGTTTTATTTTATTTTATTCTAATAGTTATGGATAGTAGTTATGGACCAACCAAATAGGTCGCATGGACTATTTGGATAGGTTTAAATGGGTACAGATACTACCCATGGATAATTATACATATATATATGGGTATATATGTATATAAAGATATTATTATAGTTGTTGCTATTGTTATTATAATTTATGTCTGCTACTAACGTGATAATATTACATATAATATATATATATATATATATATATATATATATATATATATATATATATAGTTAATATATAAAGTAACCATATCAGTTTTATTTTCCTCTTACTTATCTTTCACACCAGATTTAGGAGTTGTAATGGGATTGGGACTAGGGTTATGTATAGCATATATATATATATACATATTATAAGTCTGTGGAAGGGTGACAAAACCCATCACGCAGAATAGAGAGAGAGGCGAGAAAAAGAGAACTAAGAGAAGAAGAGAGGAAAAAAAAGGAGATTTGGCCAAGAGAGGAGGCCGAACCCAAGGGGAAGAAAGGAGGGTCTGTGCATGGGCTAACACGGAGTAGCAGAGAGGTTTGATGGCAGCGCAAGTCACCAGAAAATCAGAGAAGAAGAAGATTTGAGGTTTTGATCCAAAAACCTTAAAAGGGAAGTTATTCTCTTACTCTCTCCCTTTGATCTGTGTTTCTATACATGCCTAGGAAATTCTAGGGGCTTAAATAACATAATTGATTAATTATCCATGTTTGAATCGAATTAGAACATGGGATTTTTATATCTTATTCACATGTTCTTGATTTCTTTATTCTTAAATTTTTGATGCATGAACTATTATTTAAGTTGAATCTTTGCATGTTAAAACACTTAAAATAATTTAGTATGGATGTACGAGACTTAGATCGGAGCTTAGGACCCTTAACTATGGAGTTTTTAGGGTTTACAGAAGTTGAACCAACGAAGAAGACGAAGTCCAAGCGAACTGAGCCGACTCAGTTGCAACTGAGTCGCCTCAATTGTTAACCCAGTCGACCATGAGTCGACTGGGTTAGGGCCTCGGGACGAACAGAGATGACTCGGTTGGTAATCGAGCCGACTCAGTTAGGCTGCGACCTGGGTTTTGAGTTTTAATGTCCAGAATTGTTTTAAACTGGATTTAATCCTTACAAATGGGTTTAATGGACTTAGGAAGATCCCAAAATGCATAATATACCTATATATGCTAACGAGGTGGATAATTCGGAAGTTAAATAACCTATATGTTGTTTAAATTGGATGAAAGGATTATTTTAATTGCTTTAATAATTTAAATTAATGTTTAAATGGTTTTAAACAATGTTTATGAAACTTTATATTGTTTATCTGAGATGTAGGTTAATTACTTGGAAGATAAGTTAGCTAATAGCTATTTAAACTGTTGTATTGCTTAAATAAATGCAATATTTATCTGTATGATGTGAATCATATTATCTCTGGATTAATTGATGTACTATTTTATCTATTGCATTATTTATTGGACTGTATGGTTTAATGCACCGGTATGGGATGGTGGCATTCTAGGGACTAATTAACCAAATAAATTAAGTCATACCTATTTATTTATAAGGGAATGGATTAACTATAGAGTTAAATCCTCCTTATTTGTGTCAGGCCACTGTATCAGATGGATGACATTTGTTTTATGCTTATACAGATCTTTATATATATGATTATTGTGCCATGATATGATCTTGAGTCTTAGGATCATAGTTAGGGTGCGTATATCGCCAGAGATGTGTAGCTAAATATAGTGTAGTTGTGTACCCTGGTAGGTCCAGGTACTCATGCCCACTTGTACGTTTTTACATGTTACCTACTGTTCAGGTTGAGACAACCTTATAGTCTAGTGAGGTTCATTTAGTGTGTGTGTGTGTGTGTATATATATATATGGACTACTTAGCTATTGTTGAGTTAACTAGGGTGTAAACGTGTATCGGGTCTCTGTTTGGATTGTAGTAGAGTAGAACTTGTTCGTGGGCCTGACCCACTATTATTTTTCAGGTGTTCGACAGTTCCAGTCTTAAAGATTGTTCGTGCTGAGCAGAGACAGTTATTTACTCTTCTGACTACTAGGACTCTTCTTTATGTTTTAGTTTTGGATTTGTTTTCAGTTCAGCTATTTTCCAATTGGGATATTATTTGGGGTCCACTAGATGGATTCCCGAGTTGTATTGTTATTTAAGGTTTTGGATATTTCATTTGGAGGAGTATTTAATTATTTAATTAAGGAGTTATTATTTTAGTTCTCATTCCGTATATTTATTTATTCTTATTTTTCTTTTTTGTACTCAATGCTTGTTTATTACTTAATTATTTTATATTCCTCAGGTTTGGGCTTGGGTCTGATCAACCCATGTCTCGAAGTCGAGGGGTATCATATCATATTACCAAGTTTATCAAATTATATAAAAAATCACACTGGCACAAATACATAAGTACTATTAACTTTTGTAGATACTTGTTTCTCGTCGGTGGTTGAATATTTAAATGACCTGAGAATATATCACTAAACAATATGAGGAATGTAAAAGGGTGGAAGAAGGGAGAGAAAACCAGTCCAGTGAGAGGATTGTAGCAATGGTAGGGAAGACGCTGCCATCAGTTCGTTAGTCCTTTGCCCTTTTGTCACTTCCCCTTTTTATAGCCTTAGGTCACTCAGGTGGTATTTGTTGGGCCTTCAGATTGAAATGGGTCAGGGCCCATGTCCCTTCTAGGTCATGTTGCCCTAATCCCTATATTCCTGGTGTTATCGCTAAGTGTACCTCCCCTATTGAATGACTCAAGCAAGGCTACCTGTAAAGGCGACTGTACTATTCTAGCTGTCGTTTGCTCTTATCCTCAAATTGGGCCTTGCCTTAGTGAGCAAGACATTACTAGTTTTCCATCCTCCTTTCCAAGATCCCTTCTGCATTCCCTTGGCTTTGAAGAGTCCTACCATAACCCTTCATTGTTTTCTTTTTGTTTTGAGCATATGGTTGAGTCTGTCGACCGTAACTCCGAGTTCATCGATTGGCATTTCGTAGTTGGGTTGGATTGAGGTTCAAGACCCGTCGATCGACAGTTCATGGCTCAGTTGGATCGAGGTTCAAGGCCCGTCAATCAACAGTTCGTGGCTCAGTTGGATAAAGGTTCAAAGCCTATCAATCGACAATTTATGGCTAAATCGGGTCAGATCGAGGTTTAAAACCCGTCGATCGAAAGTTCGTGGCTAGGTCGGATTGAGGTTCAAGGCCCGTTGATCGATAGTTCGTAGCTGGGTTAGATCGAGGTTCAAGGCCCATCGACCGATAGTTCGTGGCTAGGTCAAATTGAGGTTTAAGGCCCATCGATCGATAGTTCATGGCTCGGTCGAATCGAGGTTCAAGGCCCGTTGATTGACAGTTTGTGGCTTGGTCGGATTGAGGTTCAAGGCCCGTTGATTGACAATTTGTGGCTTGGTCGGATCGAGGTTCAAGGCCGTCGATCGACAATTTGTGGCTAGGTTAGATCGAGGTTCAAGGCCTGTCGATCGACAGTTTATGGCTAGGTTGGATCGAGGTTCAAAGCCCATCGATCAATAGTTCGTTTGGTTAGGCCAGGGTTTGAGGCCCACTGGTCGATCATTGCTTTTGCTGAGGTGGACTGTCTCATTCAAGTGTTATCATTTTTGTCTTCTTACTCAAAGATGGTACTGTCATGGGGTCATCTTAACTTGACCTTTGGTGACGTGGCTCAACCATATCCATATTTAGTTCCCCTGCACGTTGCGTTTGGAATTTTGAAAATAAAAATGCGGCATGTGCTAGGCGCGTTGATTGGCATTCTTGGAAACTGGTGCGTTTTCGCATGATGTCAGTTTTGTATTAATGAGGAGTGACTGTTCAGCCGTGGTTGTTCAGTGCCTTCGTCTTCCCCAAAGTTGAAATCGTCTGTCTATATATAAGGGTTGAAAATGGTAGAAGGAAAGAATGAACAAATAGTGTGGCGAAACAGTGTTGTGTGGGGGGGATTTTACTGGTAAGATTTTAATTAATTGTTGTAGGAATCCAAGTTCGTAAGAGAGAAACAAGAGGTTGCCCTTAGGATTAGTGAGGGTATTTGTTGAAATGACCAAGAGAAAGGAGTTAAGCAAATCCGGTGAACCAGTACTAGAAGTGCCATCGGAGGACGAGTGGAAAAGGGATCCTTTCTTTTAGCCGGTGGATAAGTTCTGGACATCCACTGGTGATGTCACTGGAGATGAGATTGACAGTGGGGTAGCCCAATTAATAGAGGAGGAAGGTGCCGTGGAAGGAGGTGCCCGACTGCCGGCGGACTGTGTGCACCAGTTTGAGATAAAACAAAGGATGTACCCTTACTATTTTATGGAATTTAAGGCACCTATGGGCCCTTGTGCTGGGTGGGATGAGTGGTCTGAGCATATTTTTTCTCATAAGATGTACTTGAAGTGGCTGCGGCAGACGAGAGTTGACAGAGGGCCATTCCTACACGCCAAATTGATGTAGTGAATGTGCGGTTCAAGAAAAGCCTTTTGGGTCAAGTTTAAACTTATAAAAATCACTATCACCACTACTACTAACGTAGCAAGAGTGAGAAAGGATCGTCCCAAGGGATTGGAGTCGTACTTGGTTGTGGAATCGCTATTAGGGCTAGTAGGTCGAGTGATCAAACAATTTGTTAGTTGGTTGATTAGAGAACAACTAAATTAAACTAAGTGATAACAAAAGAATACAATTAAGAGTAAGTAATAGAGAGAGAGAGATCTTGGGGTTTAGAGATCACCACCAAGCAATGCATTTCTATACCACTGACAAGTGACTAATGCGGGCAAATGGTGTGTTGCAATATTGGTGTGTGTATGTGTTTGGTTGATTCAACAAGCAAAGATGACTAGTTAAACATGTATTGTCTAAACATCATGTGAAAGGCATAATATATCTAAGCAATGAAGCACATATTGTCTAAACAACATGTGAAAGACAAGTCATTAATCCTTTCATTAAGCTCACAATCCAAATACAATACAAGGTTAGAGACATATGCTACTTGCATTCAAAAGCTTGGATCATCAAACAACAAGCATGGATTGTCCTCCCATTTAACACTACATTACAACTACACTACATCTACACTACTAGTATGAAAGTAAACTAAGGGAGAGGCACAATCTATCAAGGAATGAGTATGAACCATCAAGAAAATCACAAAAGCATTCCATTAAGCACTATGTTTTGACAATCTCTAAATCTATAGCATCAATACACATAGACATATATCAATATCACAAAATCTAGAGACAAGCACATGAACATCTATTCTAGCATACATAGACCTATGGATAAAATAAAATGATCAATTGGAAGCATAAACCACATAAATCATTGAATAAATAAGATCTATATATGTAAAAGTGTCAAAACATTAATTAAAACACTAATCCCTCAATAATATATAAGATTAAGATATAGAATGCATGCTTGGGGCTAACTCTAGCTCCAAGAGGATGTCTAGCCACTTATGGTGATGTTGCTCCAACCCTCAAGGGCTAACTCCATGGAAGGAATCTGTTCCTTGTTGATGAAGAACTCCAATGGTGTCTCTAGCCTCCTCCTCCTCTAAGCTTGCTCTCCAAAAGATGATATGAAAATGATATTAGCTCATTTTGTAAAAAAACAATCCTTATCCTTATATAGGTAGGTCAAATGACACCCAAAATGAGCTGAGGTCGTGCACACAATATTCCCTAATGATTGGATAAAGTATATTATACGTAATAACATCAGGCTGCATATCTTTGAAGGAAAGTTTATCAAAAAGATCCCATAAGACATCAAATTGTCCATTCTTGCAAAGTCCATCAATGAGAATGTTGTACATAGAAATATGAGAATTTAATCCATTGCTTTCGATCGTGTGAAATATTGACAACGCTTCAGAAATGTGCCCGTTTTTGCACAGGCCATCCAACAGGACACAGTAAGTGTGAATACTTGGAATTTGGCCTCTATCTTGCATCTCATTCAGAAGCTTTCTCGCTGCAGCACATCTACCATTTCGGAACAACCCTTGCAACATAGTTATATAAGTGTCAATTGTGTGGGTTTCAATCCTTTACTGGGCATTTCTAGCAAGAGATGCATGGCCTCATCAATCTTCATCTGCTTGCAATATCCATTGATTAAAGTGTTATAGGTGATAGTGTCAGGCTCAATTACCTTGTCCTCCATGGAATTGAATGCTTTCATCGCTTCATCCATCTGGCCTTGCAAACAATATCCATCGATCAAAGCACTGTAAGTGACTACATCAGGATTCTCACCTCTCTGAATCATGATTTTAAGTATACTATCTACATCTTTTACCAACCCTTCTTTGCAAAGTGCATTTACCAAAATATTGAAGGAATATACATCTGGAAAAAATTTCAGATCCACCATCTTATTCAGTAGTCTTTTAGCCTCTTTCCATCGACCAAAATTGCGAAGCCCGTGAATCAATGAATTGTATGTGATAACATCAGGCAACATACCTTTCTCAATCATTTCGGAGAAAAAGACCAAAGCATCATCTACCATTCTGTCCTTGCAAAGATTATCAATTATGGTGTTATACATGACTAAGTCAGCACTAGAAACCCTTGTTTTCTCCATATCCCTAAGTAGCCCAACGGCCATTTTAATATTCCCTGTTTTGCAAAGACCATTTATCACTGTTCCATACATAATTTCCTTAGGCTCAATCTCATTCTCCCTCAACAGCTTGTTGAATAACCCCATTGCCTCGGCAATTTTATGTTCTAAGAAAAGCCCTTTTATCAGGGTGGTGAATATAGTGACATCAGGTGCACAACAACCACGTTTAAGTAAGTCGCCTAAGGTAGCAAATCCAAAATCGACTCGATTGAGGTAACAATAACAGTTTATTTCAATGTTCATGGTGTAATCATCAACAGATATACCCAACACAAGCATTTCTTTGTAGAGAGAAACAACAGTAGAGTAATGTTTCATTCTGGTAATAAACCCTAGAAGCTGAGTAAATTCAATAACAGAAGGCAAAGGTCGCGTTTGGAGCATTCGATAGAATAAATTGAGAGTGTCTTGGAGATTATTAATATTGTAAAACCCAATTCTAGGTTTCTGGGTCAGTGATTTACGATCCGAAGTAGAAGAATGAGAGTGAAACGAAATTGTATAATGAACATGCGATAATGGGTTTGGGTTTAGAGAGAGAAAAGTAGTAGTAGTAGTAGGAAGACAAGTACCTTTTGAGAGGCAATTGTGAGGAAATAACCTTCTCCAGACCTAAGAAGCAATAGCAGATCCATTTCTCTTCATCATCGCTGAGAGTTCAAACGTGAATACAATGGAATATAATTAAAGAAAGGAGGATAAAAAGTGAAAAAACAACAAAATCCTATATAAAGAAAAAAAATGTGGCAGTTTATTCAATTTAGACCAAGACCCCAAAATACCCTTAATAACCTCCCTCTCTCTCTCTCTCCTTTCTCACTGTTTTTTTTATTTTTAGATAATTAAAATGGAAGCATGCTTATTGTGTCCAACTCAGGTTGAATCAATTTCATCCAACCTATTAATATGGCACAATAAAATTATAATATATATTTAAAAATAAAAGTTAGCATTAAGTTAAATATTGCCCAATTATACAAATTTAACCCATTGCTGTGAGTTTTTTACTTTTCTCTCTCCACGAATTTTCTTGTAGGCTGCATACACCACACAAGAGACAGAGGAAGGGATAAAGTTTCTTGTGGGGAAGCATACAATATCGTTTACTTGTCTGATATACATGTGCAGTTAAAGAGACTACTTTAGCACATATTATATACAAAGGCACAATAAAATTATTATATATATTCAAAAATAAAAGTTAGCATTAAGTTAAATATTGCCTAATTTTACAAATTTAACCCATTGCTGTGAGTTTTTTTATTTTTCTCTCTCCTCGAATTTTCTTGTAGGCTGCATCCACTACACAAGAGACATAGGAAGGGATAAAGTTTCTTGTGGGGAAGCATACAATATCATTTACTTGTCTGATATACATGTGCAGTTAAAGAGACTACTTTAGCACATATTATAAAGAAAGCCTACATTACTAAGGGCCTGTTTGGTGTATGTAGTGTAGTGGTGTGTGGTGTTCCCTACAGTGCTACAGTAGCCCATTTCAGAACACATGTTGTTTGGCCCGCCTTATTATGTTCTCAACAGTAATAGAACACTTGCTCCACAAACCCAAAATTTGGCCCAAAAGCTGGAACAACAATTTGTTGTTCTATGTTGTTCCAGCCCATCTTTTTTACTATAGCGGAGGTTTGAGGAAAAATTTTATTAGGGCAAATCATTTCAGCCTCCCAATCGTCTTCATCTCTATTCTCGTTCTCAACTCTGGAACTTATTCCCTCTCTCTCTCTCTACGATTGCAAACACAAAATCTACAAGGATCAGAAGTTCAAAACGGGCCCTAAGCAATTCTCTATCTCTCTCTCTGCAACTGCAAACTTGTATGAGTTTTGTTTTAATTTTTTTTAGGGTAAATCATTTTAGCCTCCCAAATGCCTCCATCTCTATTCTCGATCTCTCTCTGTAACTACAAACTTATATGGGTTTTCTTTTAATTTTTTTTAGAGCAAATCATTTCAGCCTCCCAGACGCCTCCATCTTTATTCTCGATCTCTCTCTGCAACTGTAAACTTGTATGGGTTTTGTTTTAATTTTTTTTAGGGCAAATAATTTCAGCCTTCTAAACGCCTCCATCTCTATTATCGATCTCTCTCTCTGCAACTGCAATAGTGGGTTTTGTTTTAATATTTTTTAGGGCAAATAATTTCAGCCTCCCAAACACCTCCATCTCTATTCTTTATGTCTCTCTGTAAGTGCAAACATGGATGCGTTCTGTTTTAATTTTTTTTAGGGCAAATCATTTCAACCTCCCAAACGCCTCCATCTCTATTCTCGTTCTCAACTCTGTAAATCCAATTTTAGGGCAAATCATTTCAGCCTCCCAATTGCCCTAGTCTCTCTCTCTCTCTGCAACTGCAAGTCTGGGTGAATGGGTTTTGTTTTAATTTTTTTTCTAATAAATCAACTAATCAAGCTCTATAATTCTTGTTTTGCAAACTAATCAAGTGAAGTAATTAATTTATTTTAATCATTAAAATAAATAATAATAATTTCTATTCCAAAATTCTCAGAGCAAATTTTCGTCGCCAAACATGTTTTGTTCTCCTTTCAGAACACTACATCACACAATACTTGTTCTGTTCTAGACTAGAGCATTACACTACACCACACAACACTTCCCAAATAGGCCCTAAATCACAAACTCTGCAGCAATACATAAAGCAGCCAACAGTTGTAAACACTCAACTGGTACTCTCAACATTCCTCAGGTTATTGGATCCGTTGATAAGTCTACTTCCAATTGTAAATCACTACCAACATTTGTACAGCAAGATATACATATATATATATATATATATATATATATATATATAGGTCAAAATGCATTTTTTTTTTTAGTCATTAAAGGAATTGAAATATGGAGATGGTATTCACACTCCCAAGTAATTTATTACATATTTTTTTCACTGACAAGCATAAAACACCTCATAATCTACTATCAGGCACATGCAATCTTCTTTTCTACACGTAACAATATATTACCGAGATTATTTAATTATAAAAAAAAAAATTATTATGCGAAGTTCAAAATATGAAAATTGATTGAGAATGATCATAAATAAATAAAAATAGTATCAGCAGATATTTACGTTTTTTCATTTATTATTTTAATAAAAAGAAAAATTGTCTTGTCATTGTTCAACTATCAAATTTTAGCTATCATGTGGACATTTCAATGTGATGAGAGCTTCATCAGGGACCAATGACTCATCTGTTGAGATTTTTCCTCGTATAGTACAGCTGTAGGATTGAATTATTTTCTCCTTGATTTAGGGCTAATTGGTAGGTAATTAGTTACCTATTTTAGCTAATCATATTTTATAAATTGAATGTAATACTCATCAATGATGAATCGAATAAAGTTTTAATTCTCATATTTTTCCTTTGAATTTCAAGATGGTATCAGAGCCATCATTGAACCGTAACTTTGAATCTCTTTGAATTTATCTTTGAATTATTTATCCTTACAATTCAATGACCCATACCCATACACATACAATCATCCATACCCATACACATTGAGTCACCATCATCCCTTTCACCAACCCATAAATCACACCCATTGCCATCACAAGTCGCAGTCGACGTGCTATCCATAGGTCTGTACTCTTCGGCCATCCCGACGCTGCCGAACCGCTGCACCGTTGCCGGCGATCTGTCGTCAAACTACTGCAGGTGATCTATTGAATCGTACCGCCGCTACACCACTGCTCGCCACCGGATCTCCTTACCGCGTCGCGAGTCCAACCTTATCGCAGCCGAACCGAACCAGATCTGCTCTCTGTGAAATCGCCGATCTCTTAACGACCCACCACTGTAACGACCCTAAATGATGCCAAAAAAATATTCGGCATGACCTCTGCTAAAAATCGTCCTACAATAACCTGTTTGAATGCATTTTTAACCTATTCTAACGCAATAAACATATAATACATTCCATGGTGGTACAACCACATACTATATCATCCAGATATTATAATTACAGTCCCAAAATACAAGATTAATATCAAATATCCATGTTTTACAACATTTAAACAGCTTATACAAAAGTTACAGCCTATAAGTATACTTATAATAAGAGTCCATAAGTCGTCGTACAAAATACATTACGCTTAGTCTTGCAAAAATAGTGAGACCCAAGTACAAAAACAACAAAATAAGCTCCTAATTCATACTAAGTTTGTGGTAGAATGTAATACCCCTAATTTTAAAAGAACAATTCTGGAATTTAATTATTGTATTTAATTGCATTTTATTTGATTATGTATCATTTTATTGAATTATTTTAATTGGTTTAATTATTTAAGTGTTTTTAATTGAATTACTTGTTGTTTTATTGTTATTTACTTGTGTTTCATTTTCGTTAACTTAAATGATTTTATTTTTATGTTATGTGGTTAATTATTTTTAATCCCATGTGTATGTAATTAGATTTTATTTTAAAATAGACTAAATTAATTACGTGAATTGACTTAGGGTTTTGCTTAAATTAAATCGTGTCTTAAGTTGAGTCGACTTGTAGTTGGTTTAAGATTTGAATTTAACCCTATTCACCATATTCACGTACATAAGATGCAGAGGGAATACAGGGAACAACCGAGTGTGTTTTGTGAGACAAAATACAGAGAGAACCTTAAGAGATTAAATGAGGGATTCAAGGAGGAGTTCGGAACTGAATTAGGAGCAGCAGAGGTAGTTTAACACAACCGACGTTGCCGGAGTTGATAGAGACGATAGTTAGAGATTTTAATCCAAAGTCTCAAGGCTAGTCTTTGTTCTTCTCTTTTCCTTTAATTCGTGTTCTGTGCATGCCTAGTTAGACTCCAGGGATTAAATCAAGGATAAAATGGATTTAAATAAACATTAGAACAAGTCTTTTATGCATGTATGAATTTTGTTTAGAACCGTTGAAATAACTGCTTTGCATAACCTTTGATGTTCTGTTATTTATTTCTTTTGTGGTTTACGATTAAGCTTTGTTATAGTTGAGATTAGTAATGTGATTGGATGTCTTGTAACTAATCTAGGACTAAGATTGAACCTAGAATAAGAATTAAAACACATTACAGAGGCTCTGGTAATCACCGGAATCAGAGAAGACGAAGCTGGAACGGACAACGGCTGCTAAGGGAAATGAGAGCAGGCTCTCAAATCCCTTAGAGACAGCTCCCAAAGAGTTGGAGCCGGCTCTAAGTGTCTTTGAGCCGGCTCTAAGTGGTTTAGAGCTGGCTCTAAGTGAAAAATAGAGCAGGCTCCAAATTTTAGAGCCTGCTCCACCTTAAAATGCACAGAATTTAATTTTT